CAGGACGAGAAAGCTCTGAAGGCAGCCAAGAAGAAAGAGGCTGCAGCTGCCAATGAGATAGCGGATGGTTTGGCGTCTGGCGACGACAAATTAGTTGAAAAAGGTGTCCAAGCTGGTATTGCGGCTAGGGATGAGGTACGGAACGATGAAATGGTTGAGCAGATGGACGAGGAAATCGAAAAAGAACAGGTGGATGAGCTTTCGAAAGAGATAAAGGATGCCGTAGAGGAGGTTGAGACGCAAGAGGACGCATCGACAACCAAAACAGTCGAAAAAGCTACAAAAGCTGTTTCTGAAAAAGACACGGACGAAAATGAATTTGAGGAGGAGGACGATGAGGAAGACGATGAGGAGGACGATGCACAAGAACACAAGGTAGAAGACGAAAAAGACGAGGATAACGAAGAGGATGAGGTGCGATCTCGCAATCGGCGTCGTCTATCTCTTGATGAAGAATTGTACGTCGAAAATGAGCTGGATGAGGTTGAGGATGAGATAAAGGAGGCAAAAGAGGCCGAAGACGAAGCGACAGCGGAATTCGAAGAAGGTCTTGAATCCAGCAATGACGAGGAGATCAGTGATGCTATTGCTACCGAGTTAGCTGCAGAAGAGTTAGAAGAAGATGCTGAGCTCGAGAAAAATCTGGCTATTGATTTGGAGGATGAAGAGGCTTTAGAGGAGAAGGAAAAAATAGAAGATGGACATGAGGAAAAAAAAGAGGATGAAAGCTCTTCGACGGAAACGATGAAAGCAACTTCCACGTCGACAACAAATGAGAAAGCACCATCGACCGAGGCAGTCGAAGAGGCGTCGAGTGCTCCACAAAAGCCGAAGTCTGATGAGACCGAAGATACAACGAGCATAAGTGAAACCACGAATGAAGATAATTCGACAAAATTGGGCGAAGAGGAGCAAGACGATGACGAAGATTTGGTTTCGACTGAGAAGGGTGAGGAAGACGATCAAGCAGAAGACGAGGAAGAATAATAAAAGCCTAGACTAGATTCTTAGCCGCTGTTTGCTTTATTAACGTTAGCTGTAGCATGATACACAGTATTACACGAAGTAAAAATTATTTCAATTGTGGAACTTGAGAAATGCTACACTATCGTCGTCCATGCGTGAGTTTAATCTCTCGCCTGTCCGCGCGTTTCCAGCGCAATTTCGGGTCCGCGGTTACCAATTCGCTCGAAATGTGCGTGCTTGAGCGCCGATTGCCACCATTTGAGCGTTTGAAGCTGGCTGAAATCGTGCCGGCAGTCACTAACGCCGCCACTGATTTCAAACATGATATCCACAAGCTGGAAAAAAATCTCTGCAATACCAGTAAGAGCTTGCACTTTAACGATGTAGTTGATGCTCTGGAGGTTCAAAGTGATGCGTTGAATCGCATGTGGGGTATCGTGGGTCACCTTATGAGCGTGCGAAACTCCGAGGAGCTGCGCACTATACACGACCAGCTGCAACACGTGGTGATTCAGACACTTACCGAAGCTTCACAGAGCAAGACAATTTACAATGCGTATCAGACATTGCGTTCCAGTAATGAATGGAGCAAGCTTAATGTGCCACAGCAGCGCATCATTGAATTAAGTATTCGTAGTGCAACGCTCAATGGCGTCGGGTTAGACGGTGAAGACAAGAATCAGTTTAACAAGCTCAAGCTACGTGCTGCAGCATTGGTAAGTAAGAACTGATAGTGTTTATTTGACCATGTTGATACTGACATATGTCTATTACATTATATTAGAGTACCAAATTCTCATCGAATCTGCTTGATGCTACCAAGGCATTTTCCATCATTATTACTGATAAAAATGAAATAGAGGGTTTACCTCGTTCGCTACTTGAGATGTTTGCACAAAGCGCCCAGGACGATGGCCATGTTGATGCGTCGGCTAACGATGGACCATGGCGTGTGACTTTGGATCCACCGTCATTTGTGCAATTCATGAAATATTCGGCGAAGCGATCGTTGCGGGAAACACTTTACCGGGCGTATGTTACTCGAGCCAGTGGCGATTTGTTCGACAACGAAAGAATTATTGTTGAACTGCTTGAGATTCGTCAACAAATTGCCAAGCTGCTTGGATTCAATTCGTTTGCCGAATTGAGTATTGCAAAAAAAATGGCACCAAGTGTTGAAGCGGTTGAAAAGATGCATCGCGATCTGCGCGAAAAGTGTGTTAGAATTGCTCACGACGAGGTAGAGACTGTTGCAAATTACGCAAAGCAACACGGACAGTCGGAGACTTTGGCTCCGTGGGATCTTAGTTTCTGGTAAATAAGCTATCTACACTATTAGTGAATGCGTGATCATACCATCTAATCATTGTGTTGCAGGTCAGAAAAGCTGAAAAGTGAGAAGTACCAGTTTACTGATGAAGAAGTCAAGCCATATTTTCCTCTGGAGCGCGTAAGTCAGCGCAAGATCATATCCTTTTATCGCGTATTATTAAAAGCTTATGTGATTAAGGTACTTGACGGTCTTTTTTCGCTAACGTCGCGGCTGTTTGCTGTAACTATTGAGGCTGCGGATGGCCAAGCTGAAGTCTGGAACGCTGACGTACGATTTTTTAATGTGCGCAGTACTGAAAGCGACAAAGAGGTGATCGCTCAATTTTATCTAGACCCTTATTCGCGCCCGAACGAGAAGAATGGTGGCGCTTGGATGAATACCTGTGTTGACCGCAGCCGCCTTCTTGGCCCTGTAGAAAAGGGGGGCAAACGAATTCCGGTAGCTTACATTATCTGCAATCAAGCGCCACCTGTCGGTGACACGCCTAGTCTAATGACATTCCGCGAAGTAGAGACACTTTTTCACGAGTTTGGCCATGGCCTGCAGCATATGCTGACGCAAATGGAGTATGCCGATGTCGCAGGCATCAATGGCATCGAATGGGATGCCGTTGAAATCCCGTCGCAAATGATGGAGAACTTTTGTTACGATAAGGGTGGGTTTACTGGTCAGTGTCAATGCATTATTCATACATGCAAAGTAACATCGATTTTATTCTATTAGATACAATCGCGGCAATCAGCGGCCACTACAAAACCGGTGAATCGCTCCCAAACGACCTGTTCGAGAAGTTGAAAGCTTCACGCAATTTTATGATAGCCACAGGGATGCTACGCCAGTTGGGCCTCGGCGCGCTGGATATGTACTTGCATTCGCATTACTCTTTCACCCATGAGCCGCTGTTTGCGGCGCAGCAACGTCTACTAGCTGAATATACCGTTTTGAGTCCGCTAAAAGATGATCGATTCCTTTGCTCATTTGCGCATATCTTTGCAGGAGGCTACGCTGCAGGCTACTACAGGTGTGTTATGGTATCTTGCAACACCAACATGATATTTACATTCATCGTATTTTGCAGCTATAAATGGGCAGAAATCTTGTCTTGTGATGCCTATGGTGCATTTAAAGAGGCAGCCACTGATGGTCCTCAGGCTGTAGCGCGTGTCGGGCTTAAGTTTCGTGAAACAATCCTAGCGCGCGGTGGTGGGCAGCACCCGGAACAAGTGTTTGAAGCCTTCCGCGGACGGAAGCCGTCTATGGTGCCGCTACTGACCCAGTACGATCTGGTCGACAAATAGATTGGCTTGGCTGTGCTGCCCTTACAGGTGCAGATACTTTGCATTAAATTATGATCCATTTGATGCTGTGGTTTCGCGACCCTAAAAGAATAGATAAGGTATAAAAATTAGACCTCTTTTTATCAATGAAATACCGTGCCCTCAGCTAGATATCATAACGGATTTTTTATGTTGTTGTCTGGGTAAGTTCTGTAGATAAGAAATAGCAGTATTTGACATTTCAGTATAATACTGTAGTTTTAATCTTGACTGCAGCCATCAGCAAGGTTGAAGAGACCAACTTGAAGATACAAGATTATATCAACAAACATTCCCACTTCCCAACTTCCATTATCAAGCAACAGCGTAAGCGAGCAGTCGACGTGTCTTTGCCTTCGTGTTGTAGAAACGCACCGAAAAGCCAATAGCAACACTAAATCAACTTTAGCATTTCAATATAATCATGCTGATGTCGCTCTTGTCCTCGTTGCCATCCCCAACTGTGCCAGCGAGATCGTCTCGCCTACCGCACCTCAATTCGTTCATTATGTTAGCAAAGAAATCTTCAAAGCCTCGCCACGGCTACAGCAACACGAACTCATCTTCCAACGCGAGCGGCGACAATTCGGACGTGTCTGATCTTGAATTTAAAGACTGTTACCTCGCATACGAGTCCTATGCTGCCGTGGCCAAGCGTAATAACCAATTCGTGAACATCCGCTGGAGTGATTTGCAGCGCGCACAGAGCACGACTGAGGTCAAAAAGCTGCTAGCTGCACTGAGTATAAAGCGTCACATCACGCGTGATGGAGAGGCACTGGAGCTGGCTGCACTTGAATTGTGCTTCGAATTCCTCACGTTTGACGAGCTGCAACGTACTGCTCAGGTCTGCACGGCCTTACACAACATCATCACGACCTCCAAGATTTTGCTCACGGGTCTTTATAGTCGTACGTGGCGTAATGAAATGTTACCAAGAGTATACATTGCGCTGCCCTACCGCGACCAGCTCCAACTGTGCACAGCCCGTCGATCTGACACAATTTATGAGCTATCAACGCGGGGTGCTGTATCCGTCTTGTCCAACGGAAATTGTTGTGTGCTTAACAACTCAATGTTACGTAACTTTGATAAGGGAGCCGTCGACTCAATTCGCGGTACCAAGAGGTTACCCGATCTAGCTTGCGCGCGCGCCTTGCACAAGAGCATCATGTACTTTGAAGCGAGCCTTAAAGGCTGTGGAAGCGTTGGCCTCGTGTCCATCTCCGACGTGGCGACTCGAAATGCATACGGCTTTGGCTCAGGAGAGCACGTAGGCTGGAAGGGCATTTCGTACGCCTATCACGGAAATGACGGTGACTTTGTGTTCAATGATGGCACCAAGCCGTATGGCGGCGAGTGGAGAGCTTTTGGTCCATCGTGGGGTCGGGTTTTGACTCGACCTGATTATAAAAACAAAGATATGTGTACGGTTGGTTGTGGCCTTGACGCCAATAATCGGCAAATTTTTTTCACCCTCAACGGTGAGATGGTTGGGATGGCACCTGTGATGGCGCTACCTGGTGACTACGCAGCAGCTGTGTCACTTCATGCTTTTGGCGACCAAGCAGTGCTTAATGCTGGAGCAGCTCCATTTGTATTTGACATCGAGGCTTTCTGTGCAAGTCCTTAGCTTTTTTAAGCTAGGGGCTTGCACAGAGTTTGAAGTACCCCTCGTGCCACCGTCAGTGGCTGCTTTCTACATATTTTGCATCACTACTTGAAAATCGATTGTTAAGCATAATCTCATGCAAGAGTACTAGAATTTCTATCTCTTTAAAAGCGCTCAGCGTAGACACAAATATTTAACGGCTTAGTCTTATAAGCACCGGTGCGCTGATTATGAATTAAGCGCTATTGTTGCCTGACACTCCAGAATTTAAAGCTTTAATTTGAAAATCGGTATCGATCATCATCTCGTTTTTCTTAGCGACGGATAAGTCTGGGAAGCTCGATAACGTAACACCAGCTTCTGCATGATTTTCAGGCAAGTCATCTTCGCTATCGAAGCTAAACTGTCTAGTCTCGCCTGATGTTGGCGATGACATGGGCGAGCCTAAGCGCAAGAACATTTTCTTTGCCGACAATGTGACCAGATGAGAAGATCGAAACGTATCACTCGAGTGTGTCAATGCTCTCCGATTCAGTGTCTTAGATGCATCTGCAATTGCGTCGTCAATACGACGCATCCACTCAATCTTTAACGCCTCACTTTCGGCAAACACGATGACAGACTTGATCGGATTTCGGATGTGAAAAGCGTGTTTTGACAAGTTGTTCTCGGGAATGTTTGAAATGCGCGTAAGTTTAAGACGCAACGAGTTGTGCGGACTCCACTTTCCGGTCATACTCTTGTCAGCATACATCAGCTGATCGTTAAAAAGAAAGAAGCGGTACAACTGGTTGCGTGACCGACATTTTTTCGTAAGGTCGCCCTCGTAAATATATGTTGTCGAGTTTTTAAGATACATATGAGCACGATGAATTCGTTGAATAACCGAATCCAGCTTTTCAACTTTTTGCCGAATTTGAATCGTCTCTTTCAGATCGTTGACAAGTAGATGAACATCACCCATAACTTTCCATGGGTCCGCGCTAGCACCAGCAGTCTCTATAGCTTGCATCCATTCGTATGTAGTATCTTCAGAAGTATCCTTACTTGTTGAGTCGTGCGATGTACCATCTAATGAATTCTGCACCTTTCTCAGCAGGCCGCAAAATGCCTGGCGTTCGACTGTCATATTCAAAAACAAGCACGTTGAGATGCAATATCGCAACAAGTCAAGACACTGCATCCTGGCCGACAGATCTGACTGGCTATCACACAAAATCGTGGTTGAGAGGGTGAGCAGCGAAAACCAAACACGTTCAAACAAGATCTTTATCAAGTCCGGACTAATGGGCGTGTCGACGCCAACAAACTGGAATGTGTTGTAAGTATGTGAGAGATCTTTCATCAGTTCTTCGGACTGCGCAACAGCCTTTGCGATTCCACCAAAAAATCGTTCATTTTCCAAATCTGCCACAGAGAAACCATTTTCTCGGGAGGCATGTGACGTGATTCGACTGCCCTTGATGTGCATCGGATTGTTTGCGATGTCGTCGTAAATCCCCTCCAGAAATCGTTTTGGAAGGTCTTTCCCATTGTCAATTCCTCGATTATTTCTGACAAATTGCTCCTTCGACATCTTGTTCTTCTTAACTTGCGGATTGTGCAAATCTGTATTCAGCATGATAATTGAATAGGCAAGGATCATTGCCGTGTCAGTAGAGGAGAACGCTGCACTTGAGTCGTCCCAATAACACTGTGCAAAAGCTTCAACCAAGCGCTCAATCTTCTGAGCTTCACCTGGCAATCGAAAGCCTCCATTCGTCAAGAAATGCCGCAAAGACTCGACAAGTGTCAAACCCTTGAAAGAAATTGCTCGAACGTATGCAAGACGAATATGTACTTTATTGTCTTCGTCGCCTTCGCCTAAATAATCTCCGATCTCAGTCTCATCAAAAAAGTCATGGTAAATACGTAAGAAGGACGTAATGTTTCGTGGTGTGTCTTTTATGAAATTCATTGCCACTAAATATTCAAGTGCTTTTTTTAAACTCTTTGATGCTGAGATTTCCATCGCACGTTTTAGAAGTTGTTGGTTGTGAATCTGCAATTCATTTCGCATCCGAACTGAGACAGTGCCGAAGTTGCGGCTTGTTGACCGCTTTTGTCTAAATTGTTTCTTCGTCAGTGAAAGCCCAGACTGTGTGTCTTCAGCTGTGCCAGTATCACCATCAAATGACATAAGGGACTCTTTTCTCGGAGAAACATCGTCACTCGAGTCATCTTGCTCCCAGCCTCCGGTGTACATGGACAACCTACGCGTACGCCGGTCACAGCTGATGAGATGGGCGTGACCGCTAGCATCCATGACACTCCGAGCCATAGCCAAGATAGCATCAATTGCTTTATTCTGAAGTTCCAGAGCCAAATCGTCTCTCTCTTCATTTATAATGTGACCAATACTGCCCTCTCCAATAGAGCCTAACGTTGAGCACAAATGCTCAAAGATTTTCCATTGCTGAAATCTGTCCAAATCAAAATTCAAAAAGATTTCCACAACGTTGTGTGGAAGCTGCAACCAAGTTGTCATTTCGTGCATTATTTCCAACTGGTGCGTCCTCGTGCAAGGCGCAGTGGCCCGGAGAATCCTAAGAAATACGTGTTCAAATAGAAGTGCAAACTCTACTTTGAGATATCGTCGATAATGGTTCCACAACGTTGACACTAGCATGAGATTGGCCCGAAAGACTTCCGGTACCCATGTTAGCACAGCAGCGTTTATAGTCAATAGCACAGCCCTCCGAACCACTTGACCGAATACTTGCTGCTGTCGAGCTAGTGGTCCAGCCGTCAGAAGTATCTGATTTAATGCGCGAAGAGAGCTCACACTTGTGCCTTGGTCACTCTCGGTTGCCAAGTCACCAAGACTCACCACTTTTCGATTTACAGCTTTGCTATACGTCACAACCAGCTGCACGACATTCCTCTCGGCCTACCAAATTTTTTGTGAATTGATGTAATAAGCTCGCTTAACAAGAAAATGCGCCATGACGCTTACCACATGTTTGACAAAATGATTTATCGCAGATGTAATGTCTCTGCAAAACGAAACAGACTCGATTGATGAATGACTCTGCGCAGACAAGGTCAGTGCAATAAAGTACATAAATAGCGAGCTCTTTACCTTCGAAACTCCAAGCATTGTGTTAAGCATGGTCGCGAGTTCAGCGCCAGTACTGATCTCATCAATGAGTTCCGCGACTAGCTCATAGGCTAGTATATTGGACGGTTGATCGGGTCCCAATTGCTTCTTCTTGTTGTCCGAAGAAACTAAAGTGTCTTCGTAAGCGCTCATAATTTTCGAGATCAGCCCATCTTCATCACATTTGGCGAGAGATGCGTCGTAGTATCCGATAAATGTGAACGCCTCTAGCAGTGTGTGAAGCACTAAAGGAGGATATCCTTCCGTAAATTTTTGAGCAGCCTGGATTACAAAAATTTAACCAAAGAAATTTACACCTAACGTCATGAATCAATACCTTTCGAAAAAAGCATAACGTAGACTCAAATCGATCTCTGATGCCTTGATAACACACTGAACTGACTGCATTGATCACAACCTCCAGTCCGCACAGCTCCGATCCAGGACATGAAAACACACCTTCGTCAAGACAATGAGTAAGACCGATCACAGCAGCTTCGGCAACACTTCCTTGACGGGTGTAGCAAGCCAGCAACAGTGGGAACATGTAGTACTCGATTGTTTCGTTCCAGTCACTATGTCTTGCTTCAATGTGTATTTACGCATCAAATAAGAAACGAAATCTGTTGGCAAATTTGTGACAAGTAAAACTTACGACTTTGTAATGGTGAGGTGGATGGTGCAGCCAATGGCAATAAAGAGCTTGAAGCGGTCGATAGCTCCTCTTCTCGTACTTCCGCTGCTTTAAGAAAAAATGCAGATCTCAACTGCTTTAATTTGCCGGGTGTGGATGGAGTCTGCAACTTAAGACGAACTGGAGTGTGTGCTTGTGAAGCAGTGACAGTTGCATATAGCCATTTTTTGTGAATTGCCCTGAGATTAGCCACCTACGCAGAAGAATATAACCAGGGCTGTGTAACCAAATAATACGCTGCCAAGCAAATATACACATACCTTCTTTTTGTATCCGAGAAATACTTCTGTCCCTCCCGAATTCATGTTTAGATCAGCAACGTGTCCAAATGTCGATCTGTCCACTTTCATGTATCTGTTGAAAGTCAAACTGTATCAGCCTTGTGTCAGCTAACTTTATTACCTGCTACTTCATACCCGTAAGGAAGTGTATCATTTTTCCGCGGAAACATCACCACCAGATCAGTTATTGCAGATTCGGCAGAGCGCTTAAAACAAAGGTAAATCTTCTCTCCTTGTGTTCCCTAATCAGACGTAAATTTTCAAAACGTAAGGTTTGCGACTATCAAGCGCGCAATAGCTCGTACCATATTCACATTTGCCGGAACACCACGCCTCCGAATGACTTCATAATCATTTGGAATAAATTCGCCCCGTTCAGGGAAGATTACAGTTATATCGCTGATGGGAGCTTTACCCGATGATAAATCCTTGCTCTGGCACAGGTAGATCGGAGGCCCTCTCGAACCCTTATTCAGATCTGCTCGCTGGCCACTTGTCGATTGGCCCAGCTGCAAAATCTTTTAGTGTAATGCTCATATGAAATTGCAATAGTTCGGCATACCTTTGTAAAACCTTCGGGAAGCGAGTCACCTCTAAACATCACAATTAAGTCCATAAGAGGATCTTCGTTCCCGTCAATAACTTTCCATCGTGGTGACTCGCCTGTGGGAGGACTGTATAAAATTACTTAATATACAGTTGCAACAGCAAAGCAAGCCCGTAAAGAACACACCTATTGTAGCTTGTTTGTGGCGGTTTGTTTGCCACCCTCGGATATTCTTGCGGACTCTTCGTAAAGACAGAAGTTGTTCCGCTTTTCTCGTTGATAACTTCCGCATCGTTATCGACAATGTCCAGTGTACAGTTCTTACAAATTTGGCGGTGAGCCATACGCTTCGCAGCTGTTAATCGATCCATTCTAGATAAAGTCTCGAGACAAATTTCCCTAATGCATACCAGATCTTCGTCACCCTCTGTAGTCTCATTTAAAATGCGTTTGATGCCGCTTCGCAACGCCGCTTCATAACGAGTTTCTGCGACTAGCGTCAAAGGCACTTCAGTGCCATCACAAGTTACTTCAAAGTCAGCATATTGATTCATTGATGCCATCTCGACGTTTATGCCTAATAAACTTCTCTTGACATCCGTCATGCTCTTTATATTGACGCCTCAAATTCACTCAAGAAGCCCGCTAAATATACCGCACACCGTTCTGTCACGCTTCATCTCATCTTAACGCTGGCCCGTTACATAAGCAGAAGACACAAGATATATGTATTTTTGGTAAACAGGTTCTCAATTAATAATGAGTGATTGTCATTCAGGTTGAAGTTCTGTACTTTGCATCATGCGCGCATCCGCGGAGAGAGAAAGTCTGTCCGTGACTGATGATGGTACGAAGGGCCATGCGCGCAAGCTACAGCAACGCGCTGCCAATCGTCGTCTTATTGGCTCAAACCTTCTATGCACTTCCATGCAAGCGCTAAGTCTCCCACGACTATTAAGTGCAAAGCACGAGGCTCACGAGATCCAAATGGATCTGATTGATGCACAGTCATATCACAGTCGAACAGTAAACTATTGCGGTCGGCAGTTTGCTATGGAGGACAGCGTTGGGTGACAAAAGATTATACACTCCTAAACACTCCCAAATTATTCTTATAAAAAGATTGTCAATGTTTGCAGGCAGTTGCGCAGAGGCATTCGAAATTCTCAGTTACAAATTCGACAGAAAACAGAAGAGCTTGAAGAACTAGAACGACGAGTGTCGAGATTATCTAGGATGCTGTGCGAGTCATCAAATGAAAAGAAGTTTTCTAATACACAGCTCGAGATTTGTGATAACATCAGGATGCAACAACTGGATGTGAAACCGTGTCGGCGTTGTGGGCGCCACTATCTTTCAAGTATTCTGAAAGAGCACGAGAGAAATTGCGTCGAGATATCGCTGTTCGAGGCACAGACAATGACTGGAGCAAGCCTTACTGCAGGCAGCGTAGAGTTACAAAATGGAAAGTCTCGTGTATTTCCAATGATTGAGGCAGCTTCTCCCCAACTACCCACCCTTACGAAATTTGTACCTCAAGCACCGCGTAATGTCCGCATTAGTCGAACGGAAATCATGCACAATGCAGTGACAATCAGATGGGACTTACCAATATTCACCGGTTTACATACAATTTTTGATTACGAATTGAGCTACTCAATTGTTCACACCAAGACGATTCAGAATGTGGCACAAAAATGTATAGACCCCCAGCCGCCTTTGCGACTATCGCAATGGTGTTTAACAAGTCCTCTTCCTATAAAACGTTTTTTTCTGACGTGTTTGTCTGCGAATCAGGAGTACGGCGAGTTTGCTCTCCGTTCAATCACTGTCGCTGGCATGAGCGAGTCAAGCAATAAAGTAGATATCATTCGAACCATGCCAGCTGTTTCTCCAACAATTCCATTATTCTTTTGCGTCGAAAGGGTTACGACAACAAGTATTACCCTCAATTGGATGGAGCCTTTTGATGACGGCGGAGAACCGATTCAGAATTACGAAGTTGTCTACCTTGAAGCTGTTCTGAAAAAAAAAGAGGGTGAATGCTCAAATATTGGCCATGCGTCAAAAACTGATTACATTATACGTAGTATAAGGACGAACTCGACACGACCAACTCTAACATTGACAAATTTATTGAGTGGAGTCAATCATCTTAATTTTCAGGTTCGAGCAATCAATACCAGTGGTCTACAAAGCAACCTCTGTGATCCCATTAAATCCATCTTCACAAAAGGTAGACGTATACAAAGATTTTGAAAAATCGTATCCTCTGATATTTTTGGGTGATGCTATAGCTTTGGACAGTGATGTTGATCTTTTTGACGAGCTGAAGGCTGCAATTTTTACTCATTCGCACACCATAGACTCGCATATTTTAAGCGGCTTCACGCAGCGATACGAAAAATTTTACTATGTCAAGCAGTTGTCTAAATTAATCCTCTCCATGCACCCAGAAATGAAGTCAGAGGTTCACGGAATATTAAGCCAATTTCCCTCTCACATGTGCACTACAGACATGAACGAATCGGCTTCAAAATTCCAACCCACTATGCAAGCTAGTGGTGAAAAATATTCCGGTGATCGTTCCGATTGCCAAAATGTGTCTGAACGTCGACGGCAATTTGACTTTCGAATATCAGCGCTTAGGAGTGATATAAATAAAGCTGAGTACAATATTCAATGGTGCAAGGATCGACAAATTGAGTTAGTAGGACTCATTCGGGCTGCAGAAACGAGTATTTACGATAAGCAAGTTGAGCTGGAACGTGCACGAATGTTTAAGGGGCCGCAAATGGACTCAGATGTATTCGAAACCGGACTTCAACGGTTTTTCACGAAAGATCTGATCGCAGCTTTGGAGGACGAAATTGAGATCGACCAATTATACATTTTGGATACAAAAACTGAGATAGTACAAGTGGGAAATTATTTACGTTCTGACATCTACCGTCGCGAAACACTGCTTCGAAAGTTGGTTGACAGACAAGAAGCTCTTCAAAAATTCGAGATTTGCCCCGAAACTACGATGAAGGCAGACAAAACAACAGCGATAATGGCGAAAATCCGAAGTAGCACGCTTTCTCGAGCATTTGCATCTATTGTTGCTAACCGGTTCGAGGCGATTGATAAGAGGAAAAAGGTTTGCGTTGCTTTTCACGATCTCATCAGGTATCGACTTCATTGTGCTGTCCAGCGATGGAAAGAAGTCACGAAATTACTGGCTTGCACAAATGCTGATGCCGACCATGTCTACGGGATTGGGGGGATTGGTCTACGAAATGCAGCACTGGGCCGCAATGATATTGTGTTTAACGCTCACAAATTGCTTTTTCAACTCCGGTTTGCCGAAGGCTCTCTACAGGATTTACGGTGGACGACTGAGCAAAAAATAGCATCAGGAACTGAGAAGTTTTCTTTACCTGATCAAGACCAGTCGCAAGATATGAAGCAGGAGTATCATGGCATTTTGACGGAGGGTGATGCAAGCATGATTATACAAAATTATGAAAGAGCTTTCTTTCTATACAGGTCTACACTAAATAATGATTGTTGGATGCAGAAAATGAGTAGAGCGCAGCAAATTGAAGTTCAAATTAAACTTGGAGAAGCCGCGTTTTGCCTCAACAAGCACGACCGAGCACTGACAATATTCAATTGTGCAGCGATCATGGCAAATAGGGAAGGGCTTTTGTACAAAGAAGGATTAACACTGCTCCGTGTAGCCGACACACAGTATGTGCTACATTTGCTTGATATGAGCATTGAGAGCTATGAGCGTGCTTTGCCGTTGTTTAAGACTTTGGGGGACCCCCAAGGACAGTTATCATGTTATCGTGGTTTGCAACATATATACGAACAGCTGGGAAATTCGGAACTGATTAATCTCAACAAATGCCATGCAGACGAAATTGAATCTGTGCTTTCGAATAAACTTTCATCTGCCGGTCAAAAGATCGAAGAGTTAACTCAAAGATTAATTGGGCCAGGTGCTGAAGGCTCTTGCCTGGTTACTCTTGAGCGAGTTTCTGCCACGGTACCCCAATTAAGAAGACAACGAACTCAGCGCAAGTTGGATGTCTTCAAAGAAAAGACATTTGTGTCAAATCTAGTAGAGTTATTGTCGAACAAAAAATTACTGTTGGTAAAAGGCGAAGAAGAGCTTACGCAAGCACTGGAAAGTGACTCCTCTTGGGTTGACTCAACGATTCTCATTGGCTCGGTCGCTCGATATGAGCTCGACGACTTTAGAAAAAAGCTAGCGAAATTATCAGGCTGTATTCAAGCTGGCCAAGAGCGAATAGACAAAGAAGTAAATAATGCTAAAATTCGCATTCGTAACGCTGAAGAGGAAATTGAAGAGCTGGAAGTGGAGTTAGCAGTGGAGACGGGTGCGCTCATGCGCAAATGTTTGCCGGATGAGAAGATACGGTGTTTTAGCTTCAATGCAACAAATGAAGGATTGGGAAACGTTATAGGCACTGCAAGCCACGGAATATCAACATGTTTTGCTTGTGCTGGAGCTAGTGGTCTTTTATATGACATACTCTCTGGCGCCTGTTTGGAGCAGGCTGTTGGTGATTTGCACGAAAAGCATCTTGGCGATCCAATTGGCCATCAAGCTCCAATTCTTTGCGTGTATTACATCGGTAGTCGAGTTTATACTGGCTCAGCAGATGCTTCACTGGGTGTGTGGGAGATCAAAAATGAGACAATTGGTTATTCGTGTTTGTTGACTCGAAGGCTTACAAACTTTGATGCAGCGGTCACTAGTGTAGTTGCGGATGCACAGTGGATCGCGTGTGGACTTTCCGACTGTAGTGTCTTTGTGTTAGATGTTGAGTCCTTTGCAATAATCACTCACATAATCGCTGCTCATGACCGCACTGTGACTGCACTGTCCATACAAAGCGCTACCTCAGCACTGACAACTGGAGGTGCTGATAAAAAGATTAAAGTTTGGCAGCTCGACATATGTTCATCATCCACCACACGTCGTAAAGTCAGACCGCTTGCATGTCTCGAGGCCGAACGTCGCAGTGATGGAAGCTTGAACGGACATATTGTCCCTATCACCTGTGTGCGACGTATAGCGAACGAGATTGTAAGTGGTGACACGTCAGGCTTCATTGCGATCTGGAATTTGGACGCAGACAACAAATTACTTCGAATGTGTGAGATATATCAAAATTTGGCAGTCACTTGCCTTCAATTTGATGCTACGCGCATTGTTTGCGGGGCAGGCAATGGCTATATTTGTGTCGTTGACTTTGCAACCGGATGCATACTACAAACTATGCGAGGCCATCAAGACAGCGTGCTTGATCTCCAGTTTGATAGAACTCGCTTGATAAGCATGTCGGCTGACGCCAAGCTGAGACTGTGGTACTGGCAAACGCGAGATAGCATAAAAGCTGGCCGAAGGAAATACCATATTCTAGGAGCTGGTGAAACGTTGCGCTCGTTGTCTTTGCTATATCGCACAAGCGTTCAGAGGCTTCTTCATTGGAACTCCATTTCAGATTCAACCAAGATATACTTGGGTCAGAAACTTATTGTAGAAGTAGAAGCCAATACGAGTACATCAGAACTCAATAGTCTGGACCGTTCATGCTCGGTACAGTATGGCAAAGTAGCCTACGAAAACATTGACTACATATCAATCACTCAGAAAAAACGCACAGATGTCAAGTCACAATGGGCTGCACAGCGTCTGTCAGAGTACTTCCCACCTTTAGACGACGGAGATAGTCATGATCTAAACTTAGAGGCAGCTCAAGCTACAACCACTAAAGAATGAGTATTCAGGTCTGACAACGACATGGCTAATAAAATTATTGCACAAAATAAAGATGAGACTCGAGAGGAAAGAATTCATGGAACTAACAACACAAGCAGACCTAGAGTGAGTAAAGCATCAAGTACATTAGGCCCAACGAGCGATAGAGCCACGACATTACAAACAACTTAAATTAAGGGTCACAGTACTCACTTAGATCTCTTCGTTCTCCTCGCCCCCCCACGTTGACTTGTCTTCAAGATACATGTTGCAACTTCTGAAAGCTGCCCGAGCATTATCTCCTGCAAAAAACTCCCAGGCAGAGTAGAACCAAAAAGCAACACACTTGCGGTAATCATTGGGTTGGCTTGACTTTTTCATTTGAAGAATTGTGCGCCACTCTTCGGAAACGAATGTCATCAGCGTATCTTCAAAACGAGAGAGGCGTAGCGGGTTGCGAACAGTATACATCGTCGTCCAGTATTTGGTGTAACCCTCAAGTTGCTTTAATCCATTCAAAAAATCTGGCGCTCGGAATTCCTCAATCGAGTAGTCGAGCAGAAATGTGTATTTGTCACTGTATTTGGCTTCTTCCTCGTAAAATTTCTTCCACGTCTGCACAATATTACACCAAATACCAGCAATCCAAATCAATTGCATAAATGCGCTAATTCGCGCCAATACGTACCACCGAGAAGAACTGTACAGCATCGCTCGGATCGTTCAACTTTGACCGATGTAGGCTGTGAGCATGACGCAATTTGACACTTTTCTTGCGTTCCCAGTGAAACTCTTCCACCGGCGGAAAAACTGACATTGGAACCATAACGGACCCGTTACCACATATCGCGACATAAAAAGAGATGACGTCTTGAATTTCAATCGACTTGGGAGCCTCTTTTTTGTCGTTATCTACATTTAATTCAGGCTTAATGAAGTCCAATTTTGTGACAAAGTACATGTACTTGGTAAGAAATGGCTTCTGGCCGAAAAACTCGCACAGCTGTTCTCGCAATGTCGTCATATCCTTAATGTACAGATTTCTTACATCCTCAGTCGTATAAAAATTATCTTAACAGGAGCAATAGGAGATTGAAAAGCCATGAGTGAGCTTCATTTTCAAGTAGAACGAGTTCTGATGACGTACTGTTGTTGGGGCTTAACAAAGTATGCGTGGTACCCGGATCTACTGTTGCAGGGAAGTTAAATCCACCTTCAAAATAATAATTTCAGCAACAACACAATCGTAAATAATATCGACAAGCAATGACTTACTGATGCCTTCACACAACACATCCTTGTGCGTGACTCGCAACGCGTTCTTGAGGACGTCATAATTGGTATTGTTGCTGCAAAATTTGTTGTACCCCACCCAGTACTGTGCGTACGACTCGTTAAATACTAAGTGACCCCGTTGGATGGTGCTTGCGCACACAAGGCGAGACGGGTCTGTAGCGCGTAGACGATCAATGTTTTTCTTCCAGTCGCGAATTTGACCACTTTTAACGCCATATTTTTGTGCTGTGGCGGTCAGAAGTCCCGTGCGGTCTACTTCGTCGATTATTTCAAGTTTTTTGCCGACTGTTAAAGCTCGATCGGCCTTCCCGCGCGCCATTCTGAGATAGTTTGAAAAAGATGGAGAGTATTTTTCTCTTTATAGGACTCTCCACGGTACTCGGAGCGTGTGTCCAATCATCAGAGATGGCATTATTTGTTATCATAATACGAATGTAAATCACACAATTACAAAACGCACTTAGTAGAGAAACTTACTGTACACTTAGACTACAAAAACGGCAGTATCGCCGTGTATGCGCACACGGTGACACGGCGGGACCTGCCTTGGTGCTGTGCTGGTTTAACATTACACACACAATTTGGAGAGCGCAATGAGCCAAGATTCATTCATGCGGCAAGAAATCGCGCGTCTAAATGTTCCATGGCTGCAGCATGAGAAATTTCCGTCCACAAAACAGGCCTGCTGCTCTAGCGACGGATTGATCACTAGTAACAAAAGCACGCTCATCAAGGTTGTACAGGAACTTAAGGTGTGGTATTCAAATATGTGTTTTTTTTTAAAATGCGATGTAGAAATATATAATGATGTGACGTGGATGATCGTGATGGCTGCAGCGTGGACGTGCGTACATGGACAAGCAGTTAGCTCAACTGGACAGCCAACTGCTAGCCATCACGAATTATATTGACGGTAGCAGTACCGATATGTTCCCACCTCACATGGTCACGTTTGTAGAAGAAACATCCGATGCTCTAGCGCCGCTTGCCAATGGACGGCGATACTGGTCTACTGGTAATGAAATGACAGTACCAGGAGCGGTTAATGGAATATTTTCGAGCGAATTAGAGCACCTAACGCCTGCGCTGGTGGAAGAGGATATAGTTTCGGGTCGGTGGTTTCGCGAATTTGATGTGTTATTCTGTTTACAACAATGTAAAATTGTTACAGACACACCGTGTACAACAATCGGACTATGGAAGTATTTGTATGCTTACTCGTTCTTTAGAACGATTACATTGGAGGACATGGAGCAATTTTTGACGCTGGAAGGTAAGACGCTTCTGCCCGTCTGTATGTTCCGTCTGACAAAACGTGTTTCACAGATCCGGATCTATTATTTGATGAAGAACACGTCGCAGCGAATTCGGGTCATGTGTTGGAGCGTTCTGGTGATAATCTAAAAGAAAAAGACTTGGTAAATGCTGACGACTTTTTCAAAGAGGTACGCTTAATGATATCATACAAGGGTTTGCAAATTCATTTAAGTGTTTGAAGTTATAATGCTTACTAATGTCAGTAGAGACTTATCGCTTCGTTGTGCACATTCGACTCGCACTCGTTGATTCCAGTGGAAAAAAGCTTAAATCATGTTCATGAAAACGATGGCTTAAAAACAACGAATTTAGACATGGCCCCGACATTACCCACAATTGAAGACTCGTGGAAATCCAAAGGTCTTATGAATGCTCTCTGTGAAGTCAACTTACTGCAAGGAAGCTCGAGTGATCTTGCTGATGTCAATGCCTACATCTCAAAAAGCGATGAAATTTCGCAGAAATTGCGCTCACTGCAGCGTCAACTATGCTGTTGCATCAAGCAGGTGAATGAATCAAAAAAAAAGTTACGCAAAATCATGGATAGGTAAGACAAGCCTTACCATCAAATTAAGCTGCACCAATTATTTATTGTCGTGCTGCTAAGGACGCCACCATGGCTTTCTTGTGATCAAGAGAAGGAGGACATTGTCATAAAGGAGTATTTTGCAATGCTGCAATCAAAAAAGGTTAAAGGAACTATACAGTTGGCCATGCAATTTTGACGCTGATTGAGTTGTTTTGTTTATGACAGGAGCTTGCGCGAAAAAAAAAGCTTCGCGAAAGAAAATTACAGCGAAGACAAGGCGCGTATTTCGGCAAATTTTGCATAGCTAACATTACTGATTGCTAATCAATTTGATGCTGCGTTTGAATAGCATTACGCCTTATAGGGAGTGGGACACCTCTGGTCACGTTAAGCAGCGCTGAATTACGATGTCGTGACTCTACAAAACCACTTTGGACCCAACCTAGCTAGAACACGACGCAGCAAACTAGATATTTATTGGCATGCAACAGACAGTCGATGCTACTACTGCAGTATATTGCTGGTTCACCACGCATTCTTTTATCGTCAAAATCACAAGCATCAGACATCTGATTGCTTAGTAAGGTAGTTTTAAAATTGATTGATTGAAATGCGCTATTTGCCAAGTGGTGGAAAATCATCGTCAATGAATCCACTACTACCGCTGCCTACCACTCGAGAATTGGCATGCGGCGGCAACCAGTTTCCTTGCTGAACCGAGGTATGTCCATTTGGTGATGGAAACCCATACCCACCGCGCCCCATGAGCATGCACAGAGGCGGGTTGGCCTGGTGTGGGTGATTTTGCTGTTGTGGGTGGTGCGAGGCCCTCTGGTATTGATTCATGTCTACTCTATTACTAAATTCAGGTCCGCCAATATAATAATGGCCGCGTCCGGATCCCATACGGACGGTTGGCTGTGGAGATGAAGCATTCTGTTGATGTTGATAGCCAAAAGATCGATCATACTGCTGTGACTGGTCCCCGAGACCATAACGAACCATGCCGCCACCTACGCGATAGCCATAGTGTGGCGATTCGCCACCACTGCCACTTCCACTCGATGCTCCGCCACTGGACCGAGGGCGAAATGCGTCATGATTGCGCGTAAAATCTGGATCATTCATTTCCTGTTCGCGATTTCGCCATAAAACCTTACTCTCCTTCCAATTTGCTGCATTTGGAGCGCTCGGAATAGATGAGCGCGAGTGAACGGTGCTATCGTTACCTCCGGGTCGTGCCTTCGGTGATCGAGGACGCGAACCAGTCGTGTTTCCAGATGAATATATAGTTTCTTTACCACGACCAAATCCTTTACTGCCATCAGGTCCGACAGCCTGTCGGCATCCATGCCTAGGTCCAGCATTACCAAGGCCATCATCGTTTTTGCTGTCATCTTGCACTAACGATATCGTCGGAGATGGTAAAATCACTATTTCTGCTGCTGTACTGTTATCTTCCTCTCCAAATATTCTTGCCCGTGCTTCGGCGTACGCTCGCTCACGGTCCTGTAATGAAGGTGTGGCTTTGTCCGCGCTATTACCTCGTCCGCCATTGACACCCGGACGTGGAGCACTACATTTCCGCATCATTATCCTTGGTGCAGAAGCTGGTGTGGATGTCGGTGCTTGTCGATCAGATGACAGGTCGATTAACAGCACCAGCGGCACAGCCGACTGTGGAGTTTTAAATAACGTCACTACGCGTGCTGAGCTGTTATCGTATGGATTGTAATCTGCTGTTTGATGCTCTAATCCACAGCGCTGTGCCAGGCGATGAACAATGAGTCGATGGTACGAAGACAGCGGAGGAAAGTTGAGGTGCGGCTCTTTTGGGTTTCTGAGAAAACGCACAATCTGGTCCTCGAACTGCAAAAGTGTCATCCTCTCACGTGCATTCTCCAATCCTGCCACAAGGACAGGGTCTAATGGCCCGTGAGCGCTAGCTGTAGCAGTCCCAACAGGCGCACTGGCATTCAACTGCTGTGCATAGTTGCCGCCATTGTCAGCAGCAGGTGGTGGCTGCAAGATCCGAAGGCCCTGCATAGCAAGTGTGGCATCTTCAACGTCATTTGTTCTGGAAGCAGTGGATAATAATTCTGAAATCTGAACACTATTTGTACTTGTATCAGCAGAGGAGTTGATATTGGCCGTCTCCCACAGGTCGTGGTTATCTTGAGAAACAGGAGATGGCGAAGCTGCTGCCGGCATAGACGTGCTAATCATCGGCTCAAATATGTCTTGACAAGGTTGTGATGACGCTAAGTAATGGAAAGTATTCAAGGAGAGCAAGTGCGAGAAGACCTGTCTCGCGTCCGACTTGGACTTCAAAAGGGGAGAAAATGAGCCCTCAATGGCTGGACTTATTATCCTGTCTTATCGCATAGGATATGTGCTTGAATGGGAAGCATTTATAGACAAATTGATTTGTAATCTCAATATTATCCGGAATCTGATGTGCAAAGAACCGACGTTGGCTTCAAGAGGATGTAGACTTTTGGTGTGTTAGCACGTACCAGACTCGCGCATAAAGTAGGCGACTTTGGAACACTTTGCACCTTTTCAAAGGGCTCGTGAAACCTTTTTTGCGGTGAATGCTGTACAATTAACTTGCCAAATTAGACCAATATATATAAATATCCTAAATACTACGACATCATTTAGAGCACTATTGAGCAGTTTTACATGCAGAAGATAAAAAAAGAAGATTTCGTAGTATACGTAGGATATTTGGTATTAGTCTAAGAACTAAAATACTCAAAATACTCGAGCGAACATGACACCTAGTAACGGCTCCCGATTCTGCCTCAACCTCTGTGCATCTGATATTGTGGACTCTATAAAGTAAAATCTTCTCCTGGCAAATGCACGACAACATCGTTGCAAATCTACTCCAAACGAGAGATTGCTCACTCTATTGTAACAAATCTGTAAATTATAAGTGTTTTGACAAGTCAGCTTCGGCTTTGACTGCAACACGTTGTGCATACCTCGCATAGAGAAGTTGAAAGTTTGCCAGAATTAGAATCAAGTCAAAGTCAAACAGCAAAAATTGTTTGATCTCGGTCTTATTCGCCAGTTTAATTTGACCTCTTTTTGTTACAATATTGTTTAATAAATGATGTCCCGATAAATTCTAAGGATATTCATTCATACGGCCGACAAGCTTTATTTTAATCGTGTTATGTGCATATATCAAGGATGACGTTTGGCTTGCGCATCTGCTCTAATTTTACCGAATGTGACTGAGTGGTGTTTGTGAGCCCGAAATCGAAAAACAACAGCTTTAATCGTCTGACGTATTTACAAGCTAGTTTCAGGGTAGCAATCGGAGCATCACTTAATGCTTGCTTTTACTAAGTACAGGCGCGACATCGAGGGTATACGCTCGTCGCCTCCTGTTCTTGTTTCCAACAGCCCTGTTTACTTACTGGTGCAGTCATAAGTCAAGATTCAGACTAAAAACGAAATCGGCGCCTTTAGTAGGTAGTGCATTGCGCTGTGGAATCATGTCTCGTCTCGTAAAATAGAACATACATAGACAAATTACAGTCCTGATGAGATCGTTGGCCTGCTATCTACTTTACATGGAAGTGCGCCATCTATTTTAATCAAGTGGCTATTTGATAGACCTGACGTGGCGGCTGGCTCAGTTGAATTATCAAGGTTATGGAGGTGCATCAAATATTTTCGACATCCTCGCAGTGCGATCGATTCTGGAATGGATTGTCTTTTGGATGGGATCTTAGGTGAGCACAATAATAATGATTGTCTTGAGGCTACGCTAGCAGTACCAAACCGTATTATTGACCTGGGGAAGAAAATACTTGTGATCAAGAGAATCGGTTCCTTGCCGGGTTTGCCACCATACAGTAAAGTTTAACGTTGCTACATCTACACGTTGCGGTCACACCTTATAGGATTTTAATAGACATTCTCAATAGCTAAACCCTAGACAAAATTCAATCGCATCCTGTTTCCACGTGGGCTTACTAAAGTCGTACCATGACTTCCCCTCACAAAGCACTCCGATGAGCAGCACACTGTCGAATACCTGTATATCTTAAAGCGCTCTGTAACCCCTTACCACCCACAACAATTATGTGTGCGTTATGTTTACTTCTGGCATCTCCGTAACATTTGGGCTCTTACACTCTCAGTGCACAATGCTAGAAGTTTCCGAGTTGCAATCCTCAATTTTGCAACAGAGTGTAGCCGGGATGATACCGTACGAGTCCAGCATACGGCAGTCTTTTTTTCAACAGCCTTCGCGTAGCTTCGCAGTGGTGCTAACAAGACACGAGGGTGAGATAAACACTTGTGCTTAGGAATTGAAGTCTACCGAGACGGGTACTGCGTTGCTCGAAGGAATTTCGGAGCATTTGCCCAGTACTGCGGTCACCCCCAGGCAACTGCATCATTGCATATTGTCCACCACGCAGTTAGCGCAACTTTCCTGTGATAAGCTGCTGGTGGATTGGGGTGGACATGTTAAATCTGGTGCCAGCTTTCTAAAAGGTCTTTGCTGTAAAGCGCGGATTTCGATCCGAAAAAGTTGCTACCGGCAAGCCATTTTGGCAAAATAAATGTCAAATGGTATTGCGATACCATGAAAGATGTACCAAACAAGACCATCTGTGGTAGTAACCAAAACTCGTGATCCCTTATCGTCTCTTGGTCGGGAGGTACAAAACGCCGTGTCTCATGCAGGTATATTGATGAACTCTCGCAAAAACACGTCGCATCAGAAAGGCTGAGTCTATTTGTACCCCAAGGATGTCGAGATCGATGGCGCATGACTTTAGCGAGAGCGGCTACCAGAAAACAGGTAAGGCTCACGGCCCGGGGTTGTTGATGTCAACGCTAGATATAAGACGTTTCCTTTCAAAAAGATAGTGTTTTTATGAGCTCTTGGGCTGTATTATGTTTTGAAAAAAAAGAAATTTGATGTGCAAGTACAGGCTCTCAGGAGCAAGGAGCTTGGAAACTCGAACAAGAATTTGTCGGCGCGTTTGCATCGCACGTTTCCACCGATATTCGCTGGATAACGGGTTGCTTTATTATAGCACCGATTCGAGGCTTAGTTTAATTTAATCTGCTTCAGCAAAATATTACTAATGATTTTGTCAAAAACACCATATTCTCTTCCATGTCTCCGTATTCAAAGCTTTTTGCCGGCTGGCAAACAAATCTTCTTCATTAATTTGCGGCGTCGGGCCTCGCTAAGACGCTGCCCTTCCCCTTTCCCCCTATTCTAAACGGTGTGAGGATTTGCAATCATGTCTCTTGTCACGAGATTACACGAAGGGGTGGATCACACAAGATGATGTGACCATACAAGGGGGTGAATCATATCAGGCGGTGTAATCACACAATGGTGTAGCTACACCTTAACAAGAAGTCAGTACGTAGCTGAACTGCCAGTAGTTATGTATTTTAACTGGGGTTTACTGTTTAATTAGAAAACCTACAGATTGAGATATAAGCGGCTTTGCCGCAAATAATACTAAGAAATACGTTTACATTTTGAATGAGAGATTTTTTGCCTTGGGTAATGGTTGTGATTACTCTTGGAGTAAGCGGATTGCGATCCGCTACACTCGTACTAGTTTTAAGTATAGAACGAAGGTCACCGACTTTAGCTTAGCTTCCAATAAGTAAAAGAGCTACGGCAGCCGCGCTGTACTTGGTAGCACTTGTAGTCAATCTAAACCTGAGTCGTTTCGAATGATCTTTTGTGAGAGTAGAGCCGTTCTCCTATTTGCCCCAGGGTATGCAGGACGGGCTTAAAAAGCCGATGTCTCTGTTTGGTCCTGAGGGCGTGCAACATTTCGCTTTGTAAGGACCTGAGGCGATCAGCGCGCACCTACAGGCATATTTAGCTATGAAATTGCTCTGCTAGAGGACTTACAGAAGAAGCTGTCGGTGACGACTGCGTCCATGACGCAACCAACGACGACGGATTATTCTTCTCGACCCAAGCCGCTCATGGTGAACTTTAGGATCTCCGAGGGCAAGGATGAAATATATATCTTGTTCTGAGTGAGACAGACCAGATGGGTATGGCGTTAGCCATGCTCCAGACCGAGCACAGCGTGTGGCGCTAGCTACCTTCAAGCTCGGTAGTCGTGCACGAGAGTGGGCACTGACATACGGCACTTCGGTCAAAGCAGCGTTTCCCTCCTGGACGGAGCTGAAGCTGCGCCTTTTTTTATGTTTTTGCCGCCTGGCCAGGAATATCGCGTGCGATACATTTTCCTTGCCGCTCGACAGGGCAAGAAGAAGTTAATGAATTTTTTTCAAGAGTTGCATACTTTCATTGCCGGGACGGTAGCCGATCCTCACCCCGAGGCGGTCACAATAAGCTTCTTTACGGAGGACATCCGCACTGGCGTGGGCAAAATCAAAGCCTTCCGTGTGCACCCGTCTTTTTTGAAGTAGCAGTAAATGTGGTGCTGTATTAGCCTTTTTGCTTATTGGAAGCTTAGCTAAGGTCGGTGCCCTTCGTTCTATACTAGAACTAGTACAAGTGTAGCGGATCGCAATCCGCTTCCTCCATGAGTAATCACAACCTTAACCCAAGGCAAATAAAATCTTCCGTTCAAAATGTAAATTGTAGTTCGTCTGCGGCAAAACCGCCTATATCTAAATTTAAATGTTATTCTGATCAAATTGAATAGATCAAATAACTACTGACAGTCCAGCCAAGTAGTGATTTCTTGTTAAGGTGTAGCCACACCATCGAGTGGTCGAACCATCTAATGTGACCCACCGCTTCATACCAGGGTACATGTAACCCTGTTACAGCGGAAATGCACACTCGAGCAGCTCGTTGAGCGGGCCTGCTTCCTCGTTCTCAGCATAGCTGAGATCCATCGGCTCCGGACCGGGACGGTTAACTTGCTGGAGATCGGGCTATCCGAGTTGTCGAACACCGCAGGTGTATCGGACAGGAGTCCCGATCATGGCTCACAGGCTGAACGTGGAGTGGCGTATAACCTACTGAGAGCTGCTCAAGTATAAAAGCAGTTACTGGATGCCACGAGTAACATGGTCGGACGAGGTCTGAGGCATCGAGGGTGAGGCCCCCATGATGCACATGGAGTGGCACGTGATCCACTTAGCACTGCTCAAGTACCGGAGCTGTCGCTGCATGCAGTGCGTGGAATGGTTGGACAAGGTCCGAAGAATCGAGGGCGGGCCCCCAGTGATGTGCTTGAAGTTGCACGCAATCTACTGAGCACTGCTCAACATTCGAAGCAGTTGCTGAATGCCCAGAGTGGCAAGGTCGGACGAGGTCCGAGGCATCTTGGGCAAGGTCCTTCAGATGCGCGTAGAGTGGCACGTTTTCCACTGGACAAAGACTGTGGAAATAGCAGCTCTTCGTCGGAAGCTGTCAATAACTTCAAGGCTCCGATGGAGCTAAGAGCAAAGACACTGGACGACGTTGAGTGCGTATCCCCCACTGGTCTTGCCAGGACGTACATCCTCTAGAAAGAGGCGACAACGCCGTATGTTAGCTGCAAGACGCTAAGCGTCGATCCTGACCCCGGATGTGTCTGCTGTAGACGATAGCGCAAAGCTATACACCCTCGTCAACGGTGTGGCGGGCGAGGAAGACGGCGACATCACCCTCGAGGCTATTCCTGCGGTGGATGGTCTTCTTGAGCTTGGCGAGATGCCCCTCGAAGAGCTAGGCGGTGTCTTGAAGGTATGCGAGTTTGCCGAAGTGCTCATTATACGACCGGAAGAGGGGATCAACTCGTCGTCACTTCTGGATGAAGCTGTCCGTGAGGAGACCAAAAGGGTGCCGTGCGCACAAAGTAGATCATCGATCACGTAGAAACTCTCAGATCCGTATTATCCTTTAGAGAAGGTATTTCAAGACGTCGTCTTCAAAGACCCGTCGTCGGGCCTTGAATGCGTCATGAGATTTACGAACCAATACTGCGTAACGCGCCAATGAAACCCTGCTCAAGGAGCAGTGCGACGTCATTGACGCCTTTTATCGTGCAAAGCACGACGCAAGGATGGTACGTGAGAGCAAGTCTTCCCATTCGACACCCACGTTTTGTATTCGGAAGCCGAAGGGCAAGAGTCGTATCGTTCATGCTTACAATAAGCTCAATGCTGCCACCATTCCGTTACAGACGCCGATTCCTAGAAAGAATGATATTCAGAACAATATGGTGGGATGTACCAGTGCGCTCGACTTGGTCGATGGGTATTACCAATTGCTCATGATAGCGAGTTGTATTCCGG